AAGAAAGTGTTGAGCTCGATAAAGAGATGCAACCTTAGCAGATGCTAATTTTGCAACGGATTTGATATACGGTTTAAAAGAAAGATCAGAAGTAAGAGTTAATCCTAGAAGATGAATGGTAGATGACTCATCTAGTACATTACCATTCATAAATATAGGAAGATCTAAATTATTACGATAACGATTGGCCGAATATATATATAGAGAGAGAGATATATTTCGCACACACACAAATACACACACACACACACACACATATATATATATATATATAAATATATATATATATATATATATATATATATATATATATATATATATATATATATATATATATATATATATATATATATATATATATATATATATATATATATATATATATATATATATATATATATATATATATATATATATATATATATATAGATATAGATATATATATAGATATATATATATATATATATATATATACAGGTATATACAGGTATATATAGATATATATATATATAGGTATATATATATATATATATATATATATATATATATATATATATATATTTATATATATATATATATATATAGAGAGAGAGAGATATATTTCGCACACACTCACACATACACACACACACACACATATATATATATATATATATATATATATATATATATATATATATATATAAATATATATATATATGTATATATATAAATATATATATATATATATATATATATATATATATACATATATATATATATATATATATATATATATATATATATATATATATATATATATATATATATATATATATATATATAGATATAGATATAGATATAGATATAGATATAGATATATATAGATATACAGGTATGTAGTTATATAAATAGATATATTTTGTATATGAAATCTTGATGAAACTTGCTATTAGTATTTTTTGATTTTTGCCTGAAATCTCTACGGTAAAAAATGTGTATAAAAATATTCATATTCCTAATTTTATATTTAAAATATTAAGTTGTTCAAAAGAAAAAATTATTTGGAGTGAACTACAAAAATCAAATAAACAAATTTAAAAAAAAACTACTAGATGTTAATAATAAAATCAACCTAAACGTTTTTAAATAAGGAAAAACTAATACGAAAAGATATTTTACTATATAAATCTATTTACTTTAAATAATTATAATATATTTATTAACTTAAAAAACCTAGCAATTTAATTATATTTAAACCTATTTAAACTTAAATCCCGAAAACTTGTAATATTGAAAAACTAATTTTCGGCCTATTTATGCAACATATCCAGCCGTGTATAAAGTAGGCCATGGGCAGTTATATTGTAATGAGCAAGTTATAATGCAATAAGCAAGTAACACATTACTATTATGATATCACTTTTAATGACTCTTTTTACTTAACATGATACTTGAAAAAGTAAAAAGGCAAATACTACAATTTTTAAACTGCTTTAATTAGTTATAGAAAACTATTTGATATGTTCATGCTGACGATAAAACATGTAAAAAGCTATAAAACAACAATAAAACAAACTGCAAAGTTGTTAAAGAGCTTGTGTTAATGTAAAACAACTTTGTGACACTGTTTTATACAGTTTATAACATTAATAGCATAAAATGCATTAAAAAATAAAACAAATTAAATAAATAGAATTGTTCTAATTATAATACTACAAAACTAAAACATGTCATAAAACTTTAAACTTTATATTTGTGCAAAAACATGCCTAAAGACCATACAAGTCTATAATCTATAGACCAAACAATAAAAAAAAAAAAAAACACTAGATACCGCTTTTTTATAATTTATTGTTTTTTGATCTAGCATATTATCAAGTGTAATGATTTTTTCATTCAAATGGTTTTTAAGTTGATGTTTTCATTTTTTCATCCAAATTTTTTTGCAATAAAAAGCAAAAGAAAAAAATTGGGTTTAATAAATATTTTGTATATTAAATATTTAATAAAAATTTCTTTGAACAGAAGTAAAATAATTTATTTTTTTTAACTTGAACTTTTAATAATTTAATTTTTGGTTTAACAATTGCAAAAAGTAATAAACTATTCAAAATGTTTATGAATAAATAAAACTTCCATCCTCACTTGCACTATGTTCTAAATCTAATATTGTTACTTTAGTTAGATAAGCGTTTACCTTGAAGGACTAATCCTCTCTATGCCACTGGGTATTACGAGCGTCGCTGCAATTGACTTTATAATTATTGAACATTAAAATTCTTTTAAATTTCCCCAATTTTTTTTGCAAAATTTATTTAATAAGAGAATTTTAGAAGAATTCTTTTGTTCAAATAGATTTCCTTTTTAAAAAAATCCCAAAAACAACTTGTGTATTTATAGAAAACGTTTAATTTTGATATCGCTTTAAATAAAATGAAAATATAAGATAATGTTATCGTGATTTTCATATTCAATTCGAATTCAAATATTTGGCAATATTCTATTCGACAATTTTAGTTAAAAAATTTTTTTGTTAGAAGCTTATATTATGTGTTAACAACATATAAGATATAAATAGAAACATTTGTATGGCTAACTTTTGTGAGTCTTTGAGTATAATACCTAAATTTAATAGGCGAGTAACTGTAAATAACCATTCAGTATATCTATTCAGTATATAAAAAAATATCTATTAGGTGTATCAACTTATAACCTTGGCTTCCACGCAGAGATTTAAATTTAAAATCAAAAACACTTTATGTTGAATAAAAACATGCGTGCAAGAGAGCAAAGATCACTATTCAAAATATAAATTTTGCGTGATGTACTTTATGACCCCTAATAAAAAACTCAGACAAAAACATTACTATTAAGAATGGACAAAAAAATAATAATCACAAAGAGGTGAAAAGCAATTGCAATTTGCGATAGACTTAATTCAAGCCCTGTACCATGTATATTATCTTATCACTTGCACTGTATTTTTTGTTGACAATTTTTTAGATAAAATTAATCAGAATTTTTTATTTTTTTAAACAGGAGTTACCTTGATAAACAAGTCTACAATCTATAGACTTTTATGTTAAAGTTACTTCAAAACCTTTATGTTCAAGTTACCATCAAGTTACCTCCTAACAGGAGGTAACTAGACTTTCAGGAGATCCCACATACATTCTAAATTATATTAGATTTTTTAAACTAAATATTTTTTAAACTAAGATTTTTTAATCTTGAGTCTTATTTTAGTATTTGTGGCGTCCAAAAGAGGTTGTATAGACGTCTCACGTACAGGAAATACATAGAGAGGCTCACAGGAGAAAAAAGTAAATAAGGTATTTCTCATACTTACAGAGAAAAACTATTTTTAAACTCAATATTTTTTCCCTAAAGTTTTTAAAATTTTGAATTTAAACAAAGCGTATTTTTTTTAAAGCTGTTTAAATTTGAAAATATTAAAAACAAAACAAAAATTAATAGCATAAAAAACACATCAATATATATTTTTTAATTAAAAAATAACAAAAAAGTACATCATAATATGTTTTTTTTTATTAAAAAAAACAAACAAAAAAACATTTTTTAAAACCTTTATTTCTATTTATAGCAAATTATAAATTGTAATGTATAACATTTATATTTGTAACATTTATATTTTTAAAACTATGTATTTAAAAATCACTTTTGAAGGTTAAATGGAAAAAGTTGACTAGGTATTTGATTTCAATGCTCTAAATTAGTGAAAACAGATCAATTATATCTTTTTTACAAGATAACTCAAAGCCTTGTAGAAAATGAAGCGCTTAATCTCAACTTCCCTGAATAACTAAACATCAAGTTACCTCCTTACAGGAGGTAACTGACTTTCAGGAGATCCCACATGTTCTTCTTTAATTGCAGTAAGTAACTTGATCTTTTTTGCATTCATTCTCAGATGCTAGATCATTCTAGATAAAAAAGTTGATTTGGGTGTATTAAAAAAAAGAAATAAATGGTGACCACTTTTCTAAATAAGCATTATTTTTTTTTACCAACTGGTAGAAACCCAATGGTTTTAACTATTGGATGTCCTGCTAAAAAGATAAATTGTCACTAAAGCAAGTATCCCTGCAACTTTATATTAACAAAGTTCTGATTTATAACCTTGCACAGGTTCATGGGAAAATTTCATCAAGTTAAAAGTTTCAAATTAAAACAAAAGCACAAACAAAACTGACGTTTCTTATTAAGTGGTAAAACACTCGCTTCATAAGCAAGAGGTTCCGAGTTCGATCCCCACCACGTCCCAGGTAGTACCGCCCTCAACTTGTTTCTCTGCGCAGCGGCCTTGTTTGTCAGGGTTCGTGTTTCAGAGTTATAGAGTTGAGAGGAGTTATAAACTACTCCTTTCTACATAAAATAGAGAAACTAACATTTACTAATAGAATACTACTAACTATTGTATGAATTCCAGAATCAGATTAAAAGGTTTATAAATTATGAAATTATTATTGATATAGCTTCAGCAAGCATAAGATATGAGAAAAAATTACAGGAAACAGGTGCTATTGTGATTGCAACATGGATTGATGCAAGAATAGTTAATAAACATGATAATAAAAATAGAACAATAAAATAAATAGAGCTCAGAGCTCATGTTTTCTATTTTTACAGAAAAAAAAGTCAAATTATCTTTTTGTAAAGAGTTTGATGTTGAATGTCTAATTTAATTGATTTTGTTTTATACTATGGCAGGTTGATCAATTGAACAAAAAGTTAAACAGGTTACAGAAGCAACAAGCAAATTTATTCTCACAAAAAACTTTTTAAGTGGAAAAGATTTGTCAAGACAGTTAATGTTTACAGTTAATAAGCCAAATGTTCATCTCCTTAATTAATAATAGAAAAATGCCAATGTCTTTAATGATTGCTAAAACCTGATAAATAGCACACTAAGTATATCTTCTATCATAGTAATAATTGTCTATATATTTTCAATATATTTTTTATTATAAATTTAATAAAATACAAATAAAACATACCCTATCATTAAGTTTATCTGTTCGATAAGTTCGCTGAGAAACATTAATAACAACATAACTATTTGCATGTTTGTTATCCATATAATTTCGAACATCATCAATATGATTTTTATATCCTACTTCAATGCCATCAACAGGAAAAGACATGACTAAAAATAACATACATACATTTACTATTGTAAATTAAAATATTTCACACACTTTAAGTTTTATAATGCAGACAAGTATTTAAAAAATTAATAATAATAATGAATAATGATTTAAAAAAAAATTTCAAATTTGAAAATGTCCTTTATATGTAAAGAGATTTTATTATTTGAAAAAGTGGTCGGTGATAGTTAGGTGATAGTTAAAAAGTTAAATATTAAAGCTCTTGTAATGGATTATGTACAATATATACATTATTGTAAATATTTTTAACTATTTTTGTTGTTATAAATTCTGTCTGAATTATTTGAAACTTAATTTAAATTTTTTGTAACGTGCATCAAAAATACTTAAATGGGTTTAGACCACTCAGTTTTTTCCTTTTCCTCCATTTTGAAAAAATTCCTTTTGCTCCATTTATGACTCTGAGTACTTTGTCTTTTTCTTAAAAGAACTTTAAAACTTTTCTATTGTTTTAAGACAAATACTTTTGAATAAAAAAGTTTCATTTGAGTGAAATGGCATAAAATCTCAGTGAAAAGAAAGCCACTACATCGACTGAAGGTTTGGCATATGACAGCAATCTTTACGTTTAATATTCTTTCTTTTTTCTTCTTCTTCTGAAAATGTTGTACACTATGTACAATATGTACAATATAACTATATACATACACTATGTACAACATAACTATATACATATACTATGTACAACATAACTATATACATACACTATGTACAACATAACTATATACATACACTATGTACAACATAACTTTATACATACACTATGTACAACATAACTATATACATACACTATGTACAACATAACTATATACATACACTATGTACAACATAACTATATACATACACTATGTACAACATAACTATATACATATACTATGTACAACATAATGTAGAAAAAACTAGAAACAATTTGTATTAAGTGATTAATGTTATAAAAAAAAATTCGTTACAAAAGTTTGAATGACAGTTACGTTTGATATAAGCGCTATTTACAAATGAAATAAACTCAGATAATATTAAAAACAAAGAATATTAAATTTATTTAAATTTTATTTGGAGATATTACTAAATTTTGCTTAATAGTAAAATTATATTTATTAAAAAAATTATTACACTTCTTTTTAATTTTTTTTACTAAAAAAAAATTTCTTGTAAAAGTGTTTGTTAAATGTAATTGTACATTAAAGTTTTTTCATAAGACAAGTGAAAAGCCTAACAATATATATTTTTTTAAAAAGTGTAATGAAATAATTTTTACAATAAGTTATAACTTTTATTTGTTACTCATTAACTTTTTAAAAACAAAAAACCATTATTAGTTGTAAAGCAGTTATTACAAACTTAAGAAAAAATAGTAAACAATATTTAACATATTATAATGCATTTATACAAGTGTCAAAAAAATTAGTTTAATATCCTCCTACTTCAGTATGTGATCAAGTCCAATCCATGCAAATATCTGAACCCCATTAAAACTGTTTTTCCACAGTTCAATAAAAGAGATTTTGTCACCGTCATAAATGTATTAACATCATAGGCACTAAATTTTCTCAGCAACTATTTTGCTCCTTATGGAACAAAGTTATTATTCATCCTTTCCTCAAGATTAGATTTTAATTTTTTTAGTTTTAAAATAATGTTTGTTGTTGTTGAACTAAATATCAACTAAAATATTTAAATCTAAAAATACTTAATTTAGTTATTTAATATTAAAAAAAAAAAAAATTCAATATATATTAACATAAAAGAATTTATTTTCAATGGGACTCATTTTGCGGTAATTTATTATATTGAATTGATTTAAAAAGGTAAAAAAAAAATAAAAACTAAAGAAAATTTCATGATGTCAAATGTACATTAAGTTAAAGTTTACATTTTTTATTTAAAACAAGGTCTATATATATATATATATATATGTATATATATATATATATATATATATATATATATATATATATATATATATATATATATATATATATATATATATATATGTAGTGATGCTATTTTGTGCATATACTATCAAGAAAGTGCTCGATAAACTAAGTCAGAGCTATAATATATGTATAGTAGAAAATAAAACTACGTGATTTTCACAACTTTAAGTTTCATGCTGTTGCAATCATCAGGTGAAATACAAATATAGTTTGTTCGTTTAAAAAATTATATACAATTGAAACTATACAGAAAAAACCTATACGGAAAAAACTTTTTTTTTATTGTTACGACCGCGTGTATTTAATCTTCAGGTTTGTGGTTGCTCAATAGAAATTTATTTTCGTGACGACACTTGGAGATTAACTCTGTTTTTTTATTGAGTAGCTCTTCAGCATTTTTATAAAGCAAAATAATCAGTTTTTCATATAAACATAGTAAACATTTTTTTGTTTCATTGTTGTAGGCGGGGGCTTTTTTTAGGATAGACCAAGTTGATTCTGGTGTTTCTTTCAGTTTTTCTCTAGTTTCCCATATATGTTTTGAGAGAGTGGTTGCATTTGAAAGTTTCTTATTTGAAAATGATTGCTTGTGGTTTGCATACCTCTTTTTCCACACTCCTTCTGATAAACCAATGTATGCTTTGCTGGGAGTGTTTGGCGAAGATGTTATACATTTGTAAATGATGTTTGTCGCTCTACAATTTTTATTCAACGGGCAGATTTCTTTTTGCTTGCAATTGCAAGGGAGATTTTCAGTGGTGTTAATTAAATTTATTTTTTTGTTGTGGCTTTTTATAATTTTTGAAATGTTGTTTGAGCAGCTGTAGCTAACTTTTGTAGTGTTTCGATTGAATAGTTTTTTTGGATTTGTAGTATTTCGATTTTGTAGTGTTTCGATTGAATAGTTTTTTTCTATTGAACAGTTAATTTCTATTTAGCAACCACAAACCTGAAGATTAAATACACGCGGTCATAACAATAAAAAAAGTTTTTTCCGTATAGGTTTTTTCTGTATAGTTTCAATTGTATATAATTTTTTAAACGAACAAACTATATTTGTATTTCAGAATATAGTTTGTTCGTTTAAAAATGAACTATTATTTGTTTCGAAATGAACTATTATTTGCATATCTTTTCACAAAAATTCACCCTGCCATTGAAAAATCGATTTTGACATAAGTACTAATATATATTCAAATGTATTTAGAATGTCATAGTCATGTAATACAATAAATTATCAATTCCACAATGACTCAGACTATTGACCTTGCTCTTGCTGGTTGCACAGAAGGAATTGAAGGTACAATTTGCCTTTATTTTTGCACGATGAATAAATCCTCCATTACATTGATTGCGCGCTCTGCGCATTGATTACTTATAGGTATCTGTTATATGGATGGCTCTCACTTCCAGTGATTTTTCAAAGAGCTTAAAGCCTTTTTGTATGGATTCAGTATTTCAGCCAAGTTATTAGTCTTTTTTTGTTGTACAGCCTGTAAACCAATGGTCTGACCCAGCCATCTGATATAAATCGACACTCTCTGCAGAACTGACCATGTTGAAGGAATTAAAATGACAGCCAGGATCGCTAGTATAGCTCTGGAATTCCACCTTGCATTGCTAATGTTGAGTATTTTTTTAAACCTGATCAATGGAAAATGTCCCTTTTCCTCAAAAAATCGGAACACTCGAGAGATCTGATTCATCTCTCCAGCCTGATGTTTTGAGAATTTTTTCTGTTCCGTTATCAAACTGTGTTTTCAGTTGTTTGTATTTCTTCAACAGTTGAGAAACAAATGAGTAATTGATGTTTGGCAATTGTGTTTTACTTACAAGTTCTTCATCCATCACCAAACAGAGGATACTATTTAACAGATGGTGTTGACAACTGATAAACTGAGGTTTGTTGATGCGTTACTCTGTGAACATTTGTTGCAATATTACAATAACACCATTCTTTTTTCCAGTGTTAATGCTGGTGGTATCTGCAACAATTATCTGTATTGAATTCCATAGGTGAAATTCATCAAGAAATTCCTTGAGCAATAGTTAAAACCCTGCCATCTACCAAGCCAAGGATATCCAAATTGATTTCTTTTTTTTTATTTTTAAGGACAACCACTTGATAATCCATTCTGGCGATGTGCTTGCCATCATCTTTCAATCATTTCTTCCTTCAGCTTGTCTTCATAAGCCAATTGCTTGCATATGTTAGCAGCTTTGTTTGTTGATACTCTTGTGGAGGTTACCAAGTTGACTGCAATTTTGCTTTTATGATGTTTTCTGTTTTGTGTAGGAGTTGTCTCATCTTCTTCATTGTTTTCATATTCACTGTCGTCAGCCTCAGAGTCAGAATCACTAAAACCAGGATAGTAAGATGATGAGTTGGATAACTCATTAGAAAGTTTTTGTCTTTTAGAGGGATGGATCTTTTCTTTACTGGTCGCTTGGCCTGTAGAGTATCCCACTGTTCCTTTGCTTTGAAGATGATACAATCTCTTGTCCTTGGAAGATAAACATGTTCCATCCACGTTAGTAATATGAAAAATTTCATCAAGGGGTTCATAGCTTCTCCGCTTGACACATTCATCATAGCATTTCAGTATTTTATTAAGCTTTGCTCGTATAACTTGATCAGATACATAAGGAAAATTTAGTTTATTCTTCCACAATTTGGTGACTTCTTTGGAAATCTCCGCTATTTGTTCCTTCCTTCCTTTGATTTTTGGTCCGAGGAAAAGGTATCATCCAATAATTTGCTTTTTGGAGAGGCATTCTGCACTTTTCTTCTAGTGAATATTCTTCTAATGGGACCATTCTTCTCCTTTTATAAGAGTCTTCAAATTTTACTAGATTATTGGTCCAGACATCCTTGTTCTTCTGAATGCTACTTTGCTAAGCTCATACGACGCTATGTGTTGCTTCTGTAATAATTATATAATATTAGAGCAGCTATATGTAGTCTAAAATGTTCTAGAATATTCTAAATTGTTTTAGAATGTTCCAAAATATTTTAAATTGTTCTAGAATTTTTAAAATTGTTCTAGAATGTTCTAAAGTCTTCTAAAATATTCTATTATTTTCCAAAATGTTCCAAAATTCGAAACACTTCTAATCTATACAAGTTTTAAATGATTTGCAGGAAAGCCACATGTATTATTAGTAGCATTAACAAGATTAAATAAATGATGAAACAAATCTCTTATTCGTTCCTGTATGGAATACTGTTGTGATATTTGGGCTGGTTCTTCTAATGAAGCTCTTTCTCTTCTAGACAAGGTCCAAAAACACATTGTAAACATAGTTGGACACATTCTATCTGCATGAGCTTCTTTCCAATTGGTGTAAAGTTGCATCTCTTTCTCTTTTTTACAAATACTATCATGGGCGCTGCTCAAAGGAGCTATCATCTCTAGTTCCATCAACTAAAACTCATTTTCACTTGACTCCTCATTAAGCAAAGTCTCATTTGTTTACTATATCTGTCCCAGCATGCTCTAAAAAATTTTATTCGTCTAGTTTTTTACTCAGCACTTTAACTCTTTGGAACTTTCTCCCATCTTCATGTTTTCTTGACTCATACAATCTCATACAACTTTTCATTTTTATTTTTAATTTTTCAAGTCTTCTGTCAACCATTTCTTTGCTCTATAACTCTATTCTTTATTTTCTAGTAACTCCTAACCTAATAGTGGTTGCAGCCTCGTTGGAAGTGAATCAAAATAAAAAAAAATTAAAAATCTAGAAATACTAAAAGTTCTTTAATTAGGAGTTAAGTTGTTAGTTTAAAACATTTATAATATATATATATATATATATATATATATATATATATATATATTAATATATGTTGGCTTAAATGGTAGAATAGCTGTTCGAAAACCTCTTCTAAAAGCAATAAATCAGAAAAAAAGACTTCAATGGGCTCTAACACATTTAAGTTGGACAGATATAGACTGGCGAAATGTATTGTGGATGGACGAATCTAAATTTCTTGTTTTTGGAACAAAGCGACAGATTTATGTGCAACGAACAGCAACTGAAAAATTTCATCTACAGTGTATACAGCCTACTGTCAAACATGGTAGAGGTTCAGTAATGGTTTGGGACTGTTTTGCTTCTAATCAGGTTGGTAATCTTGTGAAAATAAATGGAATTCTCGATAAGAACAAATATTATGTAGACATGCCGTGCATGTGGAAAGCGTCTAATTGGCCACAGGTTCACCATACAACAGAATAATGACCTAAAACACACATCTAAATACTGTACAAATTATTTGTAAAAAAAGAAAGCTCATGGAGAACTCAAATTTATGACATGGCCCCCACAATCCCCTGATCCCAACTCAATTGAGTTACTCTGGGAACAACTGGAACTCATTTTTTGGTCAATTTTTGCAACGAGTGTGGAATAATATTTCTCCAATTTATTTGAATAATTTAATTAAATGTATGCCAAAACTTATTTGTGCAGTAAGGGAAGCAAAGGATGGATTTTTTGAAAAAATATAAACTTTTGATTGTGTTGTATTGCATAAACTTGTTTATTTTTATCATAGGTTTAAAGATGTTGATTAGTTTGTAAATATTTATAATTATATTTGATTTATTGTAGTTAGTTAACTTGTTTTTTATGAGTGACTAGAAACTTTTGCCGGGCATTGTATATATATATATATACTTATATTGTACTTTCTATTTAGTTATGTAGAAATGGTTGACCACCTTCACACTTAATTAATGAAGTTAATATGTTGTAATATGAAGTTGTTATAAATATATTGCATTTATTTGCATTTATTTTATTAACAAATTATTATGTTGCATTATATTATTATTTATTTATTTTATATATTATTTATTTTATCAAAATCAATTAAAATCAAAGTACAAAAATTAAAATTTTTTACCTAACAATCTAGAGGTTATATAAGTTATGTCCAAATCACTGCTAACATAACTAGAAAAAAATTAAATCACAGTTAACATAACTAGATAAAAAAGGTCATTGAAATTTTTTATTTCTTCTAAAAATAAGAAAAACAAAAATTAACTTACCTGGCAACAGAATTTAACATTTTGGTTGATGCATCCTTAATGTTACTTAATAGACTACCAGCACGGTTAACCATACTTTCAAGTAGAATTGAGCTGCCTCCATTTTTTAAATGAGCTTCGGGAATTTGCTCTTTAAAAAGATTTTATACATTATATACATTGTTATATCATATATATATACATATATATATATATATATATATATATATATATATATATATATATATATATATATATATATATATATATATATATATATATATATATATTATATGGTGGTTCAGATTAAGATGAATTTTTTTTTTCAGAACAAGGTGTGCAGATCCTTATTTAATATCTAAGATTTTTTTTAACTTATAAAAATTTAAAGGTGGCACAGGGCCCCAAAGTAAATTAAATCAAAATTTTTTTTCTATGTTTATCCTCACAATTTAAAAAATTTAGACACTATTTCTATATATATATATATAGAAATAGTGTAATATATAATAATATATATATATATATATATATATATATATATATATATATATATATATATATATATATATATATAATATATATAATATATATAATATATATATATATATATATATATATATAATATATATAAATATATATATATATATATATATATTTACTCTCTAAGATATATATAAAGATTTACATATATCTTAGAGAGTGAGACCTCAGAAAGCAATGTTACATATTATTTAAGCAGAGCCATTGCCAATGACTCTGTTAAAAGAGAGCTAAATGACAATACCCAAAAAAGAAGAAAGTACTGCCTAAAGATATTCTAAAATGTACAGCGTTAATTGCTGTAGGAGATGACTTTCTGTCAAACAGCATACTACAATCATAGGCAGTGTCATAACTCAGAAGGAGAAATAAATGAATTTGTTTATCTAAATCGTCAGGTGCTGGAGAAAGGCAGTTAAAGCAGCTTATAATCTAATAGATTCTTTTAGTCTTAATCATCATACACAGTGTATATGTTTTGATACTACTGCTTCCAAAATTGGAAAGTACCATTGAAAGAGTTATAACAAGAATGGGACATAAGCTTGGGTGACCACTACTTCTTTTTGCCAGTAGACATTGTGTTTTAAAAAGACATATAACCCACTATAATAAGATTTATCCTGGTAGTAATACGTCTATTCCAGACAATCAGCTCTTTAAAGACCTAAAAGTGTGGCATGATCTTAAAAAAGACACAGTTTTGTTAAGGATTCAAACTCAAACAGGAACTTGTTTAAATAAACAATATCTTGAGGCTGAACAATTTTGCAGAAATGTAATATATAGTAGGATCTACTTTAATCTAGGTTAAGAATTGTATCTACTAACTTGATAAAAATAATTATAACAATCTGTTTTGTACGATAAAAATATGTAAAACATATTTTTAATTTTGGGATGGTCAAAAATTAAAAAGATTATATAAAAAAAAAGATTATCAGGAGTTAGCTGAACATTAATATCAGTATCTCTAGAAGAGAGGTTCAAATTTTGCATTTGGTTCTATCATGCAAGATTTATTGCAAAAGAATTGTATTACCTTAAATTGTATTTACTGTTGGAAACCATTTCAAACTTATCAGAGGAAAATATAAAAGAGATTTGTGATTTGGCTACATTTGTTGGCATGTTACTCTGAATGGTTCCTTAGAAAAGTATTGCAATTGCTGCTCTGTATCAGGTTAAAAATATAAATGTAATTATATAAATCAAAAATATAAATATAATTATATAAATTAAAAATATAAATATATAATAACAAATAAAAAACACATTAAAAATGATTAGTTACTTGTTTAATTGATAAATTAATCTAATTTTGTTGAAATATTGAGTAGGATATGAAAACACTGTGGCAGTTGAAAAAATCATTTGAGAGGCACAGCTGGTATCTTGATCCTGCCTTAGTTGTGCTTGCTTTAGCATATAAACATTGCTCAAACAGAGAAGATATTGTCAAAGCATTATACAGTACACTCTCCGCAAAACCAATAGTATATCCACTTGAATGTGTTATGGACAATAAAGAGCTTCTTCACTCCCTTGATCACAAGATCTTTTAGTGTAACTGAACAATCTTGGCTCATCTTTGATATTGGATATCAGAAAAAGTGAGTTGAAGTGGATTAAGATTCCTTCACAGTTCTGAAAGTTCAACAATTTTTATTGTTTTATTATTTAAGTTTGAAATTATTATTAAATCCCTTCATGTAGTCAATGACTCATCAGAGAGGGCCATTAAACTAGTTAAAGAACTGATAGGAAAATCATCCAAAGAGAAGAAAAAGCAGGATTTGTTTTTGCTTAACTATGTTTGCAAAAGAATTAAGCAAAGGGTAAAGAAAATAGATTTAACATCAAACACAACTAATAGTATTTTAAAACAATACCTTGTTAATAATTTAATAAAAGTCTAATATTGAGTTAATTCTATTTTTCTCACTCATCCTCCAACAACTTGAAAGAAAGTTATATTATTAGGGGAGAGCTAACTTTAGATACTTCACTAAGTTTGATATCCAAAAACATATTTTAATAGCTTATTTATAATTTGATTTAAGGGAATTTAAGTAGAAATAGGGAATTTTTTTTTTTTTTTTACATTATTACTTTTTTTTGTCTACTTTATTACTTTCTTACTTTTTCTACAACATTTTCAGTGTTGAGAAAAAAATGTATAGAAAGAAAAAAAATCTTTTTTTAATATTAGTCATTGTGCGAATAAATATAGAAAAAAAAAATTATTTCAATAGTGTCTAAAGGTGGCACACGTGGGGCCGAAAATGTCAAATAAGGGGTTTCTGAAGTTTTGTAATTTTTATAGATTTCTTTTTCAACTAATTTTTTGGAATTTATTTTTATTATTGTTCAATTATGTTTATAAATTAAAAAAATTATAAAATTATTGTGTTAAGATAAATACATATATTAATCAGTAGATGGAATCAGTGTTGCAAAAAAATTCTATCGTGCATTAGATGGAAAAAGCAATGATGGAATTAGTGTTGCAGTGTTGAATAATGGAATCAGTGTTGCAGAGCAACTGATTTTTGCATATCAAAAGTATTGAATCATTCCTTTTTAATTATATTGTCAATGATACACCACACTCCTTCATTTTTGGTAATGGTAAGTGGGTCTATTTTTTGGTAATGGTAAGTGGGTCTATGTTAGAAAAAAAAATTTTAATCTCTTGAAACAGGCAGCTGATTTTGAATCTGATCTGTCTTTACTCCTTTTAAAAAAATGTAATTTTTTTTTTTTTTTTTTGAAACACTGTTTTCATATTCAGGATGGTTCTTCTGATGAAGCCCTCTTATATATATTAAACAGTGTCCAAAAACACATTGTAAATTGTGTTGTTGTTACATTGCAACCTAGCTATCAAGCTTAAGCTTCTGTCACATACTCTTTCTCTTTTTTAAAAATACTACCATTGTTGCTGCTATAGAATTTGTATAAAAGAAGTAAAAAAAAGAATTCTTTTTCAGCAAAGTCACATTCTTTTACTGTAACTGTTCATTCAAGCCCCAAAATTTTAGTTTTTTTTTCACATAAGTGCTTTAAAATTCTTTATGCATTCATATCTCTAATATTTTACAGTTTCTTATAGTTCTTTTTTTTTGTTATTATATTTTACAGTTTCTTATAGTTCTTCTGTCAACTTCTTGAAGTCTTCATTACTTTCATTCAATTCCTAACTTAAATTGATGTACTAAAAAAGTATTATAAAGTATGTTGCTTGCAACCATGAAAAAAGTATTATAAAGTATAAGTTGTTGCTGGCAATCATGTTGGAAGTTTAAAATAAAATAAAAAAATTTTATTTTATTTTTTTACATTTTACAATAATTTCATTTTTAAATTTTAAATTATTTATTTTATTTATTAAAACTAATTATAATAATAATCTTTTATTTTTTTAAATATAGATTACAGTTGTTGCTATGCTATTATTACACTTGTTGCTATGATATTATTACACTTGTTGCAATGCTTTTATCTTTGTTTTAATTTAGATTTGTTATATTTTTAATTACTATTAAAAAAAAATAATTAATACTCAATTTTTTTTACCTGTTTTAACTGAATTGATAATTTGATTTTTCTGTTCCTAAATTATATTTATAAATAATGTAAGTTATTATAAAATGAATAATAGTTATAAATAAAATGTAAATATAAAAAACTAAATATTTCTAAAATATTTAGCTTATTATACTTAATTTTTATTTTTTTGTCAAAGACATTCATTTTTTTGTCAGATGTGTTAAATTTTTTGTTAGAGGTATTAATTTTTTTGAGTGGTGTTAAATTTTTTGTCAAGTGTTAAATCATTTGTCAGATGTGTTCAATTTTTTTTCAGAAGTATTAACTTTTTTGAAAGGTTGTTTAATTTTTTGTAGGTGTTCAATTTTTTTATCAAATGTATTAATTTTTTCGTCAAATGTGATAATTTTTTTTGACAGATGTGTAAAATTTTTTGTTAGAGGTATTAATTTTTTTGAGAGGTGTTAAATTTTTTGTCAAGTGTTAAATTATTGTTTTGTCAAGTGTCAAATCATTTGTCAGAGGTGTTCAATTTTTGTCAGAGGTATTAACTTTTTTGAAAGGTGTTCAATTTTTTGTAGGTGTTCAATTTTTTTGTCAAATGTATTAATTTTTTTGTCAAATGTGATAATTTTTTTTGTCAGATGTGTAAAATTTTTTGTTAGAGGTGTTAAATTTTTTGTCAAGTGTTAAATAATTGTTTTGTCAAGTGTCAAATCATTTGTCAGAGATGTTCAATTTTTTGTCAGAGGTATTTACTTCTTTGAAAGGTGTTTAATTTTTTGTAAGTGTTCAATTTTTTTATCAAATGTATTAATTTTTTTGTCAAATGTGATAATTTTTTTTGTCAGATGTGTAAAATTTTTTGTTAGAGGTATAAATTTTTTAGAGAGGTGTAAAACTTTTTGTCAAGTGTTAAATCATTTGTCAGAGGTGTTCAATTTTTTTGTTAGAGATATTAACTTTTTTGAAAGGTGTTCAATTTTTTGTAGGAGGTGTTCAATTTTTTTATCAGAGGTGTTAATTTTTTTGTCAAAGTATTAAATTTTTTGTCAGATGTGTTAAATTTTTTTTGTCAGTTAAATTGAACTCATATAAAGTGTAAACAATATAAACAATAGAAAATCAACCTTCTCCCAAAAATCTTACAATTACTGATGATTTTAATTCAACACTATTTTCTGCTGCTAAGGATACAAGTTCTGCATACACCCCATCAAGATCGGGTCTTTGATTTGGATCAACTTGTAACATGGACCCTAAAAGTATTTTTTTTTTTTAAATTTAAGCCTAAAATTAAATTAAACAATAAAACTTTGAAACTTAGTTGGACTAAAAATTAACAAATAACTATATTAATATTTGTTTATATAATAATATACATAATAAATAAAAAGTAAAATTACATTTAAAAATTTAATAAAAAAATATTAATTAAAAAATAATACAAATAATATATAATAAAAATAATTATAAATAATATAAAATAAGGTAAAAATATATAATAAAATAATATTATAAAAGAACAAATTAAATCTCACGAATTAACTTGTGAAAATCGTTATATATCACATCATTGACTGGAATAGAATAATTTGCATTCATTATTTTAAGCTTGGCAGAATCTTCAAAAGGATGACGCAAAAAACACAGCATGTACAACACACAACCCAAAGCCTATTTTTTATAAAATTGTAATTATAAATTGAAATACTATAAAACTTAAAAGGTAAAATACTGATATCAAACATCAAACACAAAACATTAAAACAATACTTCAAGTATCAGGTGTCAAAACATTTTTTAATTGTCAAAAACATATTTTTAACATGTCAAGTGTCAAAACATCTTTTCAAGTGTCAAAACATCTTTTCAAGTATCAAAATCTTTATTTAAGTATCAAAACATTATGTCATATACTTAAAGAACAATAATAAACAAAAATTTTAAAAGACACTCCAACCTATGATGTTTGACCAGCACAATCCAAATTACAAAAATTATGCTTACCCAGACATCAGCTTTAACAGTAATTGGATAGTTACTATATAAATCAACCATTTCAGGAGCTCTATACATGGGTGTAGTGTTTAACTGTATCTACAAATAAATTCCAAGTGATAATCTATTAAAACATAATCTGATATCACTACATAATAATTCTTAATAACAATTTAATACCTCATCTTCAGCAAGACTTCTCTGTATAGCAGTCCAGCTATTATCAGGATACAGAGCGCTTGTTGTAGCAGACCCAAAATCGCAAAGTTTAATAACACCTTTACTACTAATTAGTAAGTTTTCAATCTAAATATATATAACTAAACATGTATATATATATATATATATATACATACATACATATATACATACATACATACATACATACATACATACATACATACATACATACATACATACATACATTACATACATATATATATATATATATATATATATATTTATATATGTATTTATATATATATATATATATATATATATATATATATATATATATATATATATATATATATATATATATATATATATATATATATATATATATATATATATATATATATATATATATATATGTATATATATTTATGTATATGTATATGTATGTATATATATATATATATATATATATATATATATATATATATATATATATATATATATATATATATATATATATATATATATATATATATATATATATATATATATATTTGTATATATGTATTAGGGTGTAGGCATCCATAATGTAAAAATTTTTAAAAAATGCATTTATTTTTCATCAACCCATAATTAGATGATGTGTCATACAAAACCAAAATCAATTAAATTAATAGAACTTGCTCAATACATTTTAAATTTCAAAATACCTTTTTACATTTTTTTTTTTTTTTTTCATTTTCTCAACTGTCTGTCTAAATACATATTTTACAACTTACTTATCTACATAAATGCATGTTTAGTTATTATGTCAATTTTTTTTACTTTAGTATCATACTTTGAACTATGTGCATATGGTGAACACATTGGTTGAAAACTTAAGCCAAGAAAGTGTTTTTTTCAAAATTAATAAATTTATGACATTTAACAACTATGTTTTTGAATTAGCAAACTGTTTTATTATATTTACGTATAATACTGTTTGTTGCAACATAACGGCTGGATGCCTGGTAGTATGATCACTCTGGACCAGAATCTAATCTGGTTTAGTTTTAATTTAATTTTAATTTTTGAAAATAATTGTTTTTGGGCGACTGTTTAAAGCTTATTAACTGAATCAGTAGAATTTTTTAATTTGCAAAATACCTATACTAACTCACTTAATACTATTGTCTGATGCATTTTTAATACTAATACTATTGTCTGATGCATTTTTCATACTAATACTATTGTCCAATGCATTTTTAATACTAATACTATTGTCTAATGCATTTTTAATACTAATACTATTGTCTGATGCATTTTTAATACTAATACTATTGTCCAATGCATTTTGTAAAAAAAGCATTATAAAAAACTATACATAAAAAACTATACAGAAAAACTAGACATCTGTGTCTTCTCGTATCCTTTCGGAAGTTCGGTTTGTCATGATAGAAAACAATAATTTTTGTTTCATGCCGTTTTTACGAACCAATAAAATATCATATCATTTTGTATCGTATTTTTACGAAACAAGTAAAGCTTGTTTCGTTTTGTACCGTATTTATACGAAACAAAAAAATTGTGTTTCATTTTGTATCAGTTTTTACAGAACATTTTATAATTCCCCCGCTCCAGATAGATATTTTACACTCCAGATAGATAATTCCCACAATCCGAGCAATTCATGAACTATAACATTCAAACTATAACAAATGCGCATTTAATACTCACTAACTTAATGCTTCGTAAAAAAAAGCTTAACTAAAAAGTTTAACTTTATTTCGTTTCGTACCCGTTATTTCGTACTTTATTAAGTTTAACCTTATTTCGTTTCGTACAAAACAAGAAATTATTGTTTTGATTTGTACCGTATTTTTCATGAAACAAAAAAATTTTACTTTTTGTACCGTTTTTTGCGCAATTGTTTTATTTTAAAATATTTTCGTTTTGTACTGGTTTTATCAACAAAAAAAAATTTATTGTTTCGTCTCATTTCGTCTTGTACCGTTTTGAGACGCAGATGCTTAAGAAAAACTATTGTTACAAATGTGTATATTTAATCTTCAGGTTTGTTGTTTTTTAATAAAAATTTATTTTTGTGTTTTTTTATTCAGTAGCTCTTCCACATTTTTAAAACGTAAAACTATTAGTTGAAAACAAACATTAGTTATAAATATTTTTGTTGTTGTGCTGTTGTACAGCACAACAAAAAATATTTATAACTAATGTTTGATATTTATAACTAATGAGGAACTCTTTTTAGTTTAGACCAAGTTAATTCAGGCCTTTCTCTGAGCTTTTCCAGAGTTTCCCATATATAATTTAAGGCATGATTGCATTTAAAAGTTTTTTTTATTTTATCATAAGCAATCAATTAAAAATGAACTTTCAAATATAAACATGCTCTCAAAATATATATGGGAAATTCAGGAAAAAATCAAAGAAACGCCTGATTTAACTCAGCCTATCCTAAAAAGAGCTTCTTGTATATAGGAAATTGAAAGTCTTAATATAAAATTTAATAACTAGATACCTTTATATCTCTGTGTATGATTGGAGGAGATTGTTGATGCATGTGAAGAACGGCTTTACAAGCCTGAGAAAAAATCTTTAATACTTGAACAAACGAAAGTTTACCGTTGTCACTTTTTAGAAGATCAATGAGTTGACCTTAAAAAAAGTAAAATAATATAAAACTCAAGTCTGTAAAATAATTGTAAATAAAGAGAAAGTGAAGTCTGTGAATTAAGTTTAGTCTTGTGTTGAGTTGTAAGTAGAAACTGCATTCATAGAAAAGTCAGTGTGTAAAAATATTAAAACTTAATAATTTATTATAAACTGGTTTTCTATTTTATCTAATGGAGGCATCCAGAAATTACATATGCAGTAAAATCATTGATTTAGAATCCCCTCCTATCCCCTTTGTATGCAACTGTATTCTTTCAACAACATCCTACCCCCTCCCTTCTGCATATGTATGCATTATTTATTACAAAGTCAACCCTTTCCCTAATGTATAAATTTTTTTAAACATTTAAAGCAAAAAGACTTTTAGTTCATTTGTAAATTCTTTTTTAATATTTTGCAAAACTTATGCATTAGGGAGGGGGTTGATATTTTCTATTTTTAAACTATATAAATGATTGGATACAAATGCATTTTTATGAGTTTTATCAATCATTCATAAAGTTTTTGATGATTTTTGTCTATTTTTTGCTGAGCAATTTTCATTTTTCAGTTTCATTAAGTTCTATGGTTTTAATATAGCAACTCCAAATTAGCAAAAGTTTTTTTAATTTTTTTTTAAAATATTGCAAAGCTTTTGATAAAGTGCTTTTAATTGTCCGATAATAGCAGAAAACAACCTGACCGCAGAAGTAAACTGTAACCTGAAAGCAGAGGTTCCAACAAGATGCATTTTAATTAGTCATATATTTTTTTTTAATTTAATTACTCATCAATCATTTTTAATTTAATTTTAATTATTCATCTTATTTTCAATTTATTCTGATTGATTAATTAAGATTAATTAAAGTAGAATTAAAAAAAAAATTGGAGAAATAAATTTTATAACTATTTTATAATAATAATAAAACCAAATTATTGTAATAATTTTTTAATAAGATTTACGTGATCTGATAGGTCAGGGTGTTAACCAGCCTGATGGCACTGCATATAACCCGGTATTCCCGATTGGTTTCAAATTCCCAAAGGTTCATAAGATCATAGTAAAAAAAATAAAAATAAATCAGTCTCAGATTTTAAGTGTCCCGCTAGACAAGTAAAAAACGCAATTAGAAGATAATTAAATAATATTATAATATTATTAGTTATTAACCAATATTTATAAATACAAAATTCTTTTTTTAATTTACAAATACAAACTTTATGTAGATATTTAATGAATGAAATGTAAATTGAGAAAAAAAAAGAATAATAATAATAATAATTTTGTATTTAAAAACATTTTTTTAATTTAAATACCTACTTTACTAGATATTTAAAATACGCCAATTAAATTTAGTTGCTGCCCTCGTGCGGTGAAAGAATCTCGCTTTGCCCCCTTTGTCTTTGTTACTTATTTAACTTAAAGTAGCATATTGCAACAAAAGTTCTTCGAACAAACATTATTTGATGGAAATCGGCGAGCCAACCAAGTTTTTCAACTAAAAGTTATTAAGATTTCGAAAACTTTAATTTAATTTTCATTTAAAAAATTTAAATATGATGAACAATACGACATTTGTAAAAAAGTTTTTTAAGTATTTTAAAATACTAAAGTATTTAAATAGTTATATAGTCAAATATATTTCTTCAGAACTAATCGTTTAAACCTTTTAAAACTGTATTGAAAAAGCGATGTACGCAATTAATCTAGATCAAAGTTTCAATGAAATTTAATGATACATTCATTAAAACAGCAAACAATTGTCTTCAGTTCTTGTTTTCTCTCTACTTTACTGCAGCCCTTTTTCAAAGCAACTTATGTAAAAAAAAATCAATTTGACTTTTTTACCAAATAAGCTAGTTTAGATGTCTACAAACGTTTTTGAATACATATTTTTAAAGAGTTTTAAAAAAATTCATAAAAATTATTAGTTTCAAAAAGCGTTTTACAAAGAGTTTCTCCAAATAGTTTTTTTTAATTACGTTTTTCTCGAAATACGTAATAAGACTATTAAGGCGTTTTGAAAAACGGCTACAGTAGAAATGATTTAAAAATGAAAACTTTAAAAGATTGCCCAAAATTTTTTTTAATTTCCTCAAACCTACTTAATGATGGTTCAGAACCAAGGTTGATGGTTCCAAGCAAAAATATAACAAAAAAATAAAATTAGCAACTTAGGACCAAACAGCCCAAAAAAAGACTCAACACCCTAATTCAAAAAAAAAAAAATTATATATATATAACATTTATATTGTAAAAAAAAATAAAGATGTGAAGAATAATTTTAAAATAAAAATACCTGTACAAAGCTCTGTGAGAATTAGATACTCGCTTGAACCAGACTTTGTCTCTGAGCTGGCTGCAGCTCCAATAAATTGTATAATATTTGAATGACCACGAAGTTTCCGCTTGTTTAAAGTCAAAGATTTAATTTTACAAACATTCCGTGCAATTATTACATGAGCATACATTATTAATTTATAAACATAATTTGACATTTTAATTTATTTTATATTACGCTTTAAGGTACAACGTAATTTTTTTAATATTTTAATAGTATGTAACTTTGCTACGCTATACTTTAAAACTTTTGTTTCTTTTCACATCATGTTAATAAACAACAAATGATAAGTACAACTACATAACACAGACTTAATCTCAGACAATCAATACTTAATTTCAGATGACCAATATACCTATATTGGTCATCTGAAATTAAGTATTGATTATCTTAAACAAATAAAAATCGTTTAACATAAATTAATAAATACACTAAGGGGATACAAACATGATGAAACATTGTCACTTTTTCATATGATGAAATTACTAACTGAAAAAGGAATTAAAGCTGTAGCTAATAAAGTCAGATCTAGGGAGTAGTAGAGGAGATCTGGGTAGTAGCAGAACAAATTTATACTGAGAAAAACCTTCATATGAAGTTGATGCTGATCAATACTCTTTAACTATGAACTTTTTTAAATTATTGCTAGTAACAACAACATCATACCATAACAACAATATCATATCATAACAACAACATCATACCATAACAACAACATCATACCATAAAAACAATATCATATCATAACAACAACATCATATCATAACAACAACATCATATCATAACAACAACATCATATCATAACAACAACATCATATCATAACAACAACATCATATCATAACAACAACATCGTATCATAACAACATCATATCATAACAACAACATCATATCATAACAACAACATCATATCATAACAACAACATCATATCATAACAACAACATCATATCATAACAACAACATCATATCATAACAACAACATCATATCATAACAACAACATCAGTAGAGATAATATAACAATCATTATAACATTTAAAATTTATCTCACACAATTTATCTCGTATTTTTTAAGTATTGAGCATGAACTTTCTTAGTTTTTTATGAAAAGTTATTTTTTTTGGATTTGTTGGTTTTCAATAATATATATACAGTTGCGCCAGAAAGTAATTTGACAACTCTTATTTTTAGTATTTCGAAGGTAAAATAAATAATGATGTTATTTTTCTGAATTCAAAATATGTTTTTTGTATGTATTAACTAAATTTTTTAGTGGTATATTATATTAACTAACTCTAGAAACCTAAAGTACAATTATGTTCATGTTATTAAGAAATAAAACAAACAGTAAGCTGACAAAAAGCAACACAAACAGTAAGCTGATAGAAAGTAAGCTGACAAAAAGAAAAATTATAAAAAATTAATTATTGTTTTACAATTATAAAAACAATTAATAATGGGTATAAAAACCTTTAGCAATCAGTTACAAATACTATCACTTAATTTTTAATAATTTTGGGGGATATTTCTACTGCAGAGTTGCATTTGGCAACTCTTTCCCAAAGTTGTTCAATGAGGTGATACCCTGGGCTCTGAAGTGGCTGTGGTAAAAAATTTATTTGATTTTCTACAAAAAAATTTCTTTATAATTTTGACAGTTTGGGGTTATTATCCTAATGATAGATGTCTGCCTCAACTGATCTTGAACAATGCTTTGAGGTTTTCAGTTCAAATTTACATTCTTCCAAACGAAAGATACTTTCTTGAAATTATTGAGGCTTATCTGGATGTTCTCTGGCGAACTTCAAACGCTGCAATAATATTTGAAACAAATGGTTTTATCCTAGCCACATGGCCACATTATTTAGCTTCATTTAACCTGGATTTGATTTGAGTATCACCAATTGATATATTTATAACTTCTTTCAGCTTTCATGGTGAAATAAATGTCTTTTTATTTTTGCCTCAGTCACAGTAATTTTCAGTTTCTTTGTGGTAAAGGAATAATGGTTTTCTAGAAAAATTTTTGCAAACTTTGTTTACACTTTCTCTTGAAATATTGAATATTTTTTAAAAATAAATGTTGTTTGCAGTTTTGCAATATTTACAATATTATGCAAAGATTCACAAAGATTTATCTTTGCTCATATATTTTTTGTCCCAGGTGAGGCATTAACTCTCTAACTTATGGCATTCTAGAATATCTAACTTTATTTTACATTTTAATTTAGAAAAATTTGTTTAGAATTAATTTTTTTTAATATATAATAAAATGTTATAACAAATATAGACATAGACTTATTTAAATATGTAACTCTGGAGCTTAAATGGAAACTATTTTTGTCAACTTTCCAACCATAAATGGATGTATAAATTGCCAAAAACAAAACCAAGGCGTGTTGTTTCACAGGTATAATGAAACACTTATAATAGGTATAAATGTTTCATCATCAACTGTGAAACAACACGCCTTGTTTTTGTATTAATATAAAACTAATACTAACTGGTGTTAATATTAGTATAATACTTTCCGTAAAATCTTAAATAAACAAAAATATATAATAAATAATGTTACAGTATGACTAACTAAAATGTGTATAAATAAACTTTTAAGTTAAAAAATAAATAAATAAAAAGAAGTAAATTATGAAATGATACAAGATATTGGACTTCTTTTATAATATTTTTCTTTGACGTTTCATCAACCGCAATTAACCTCTAAAGAAAGAAGGATTTTAACATATATAAAAACATATATAATTTTAACATATATAATTTTAACATATATAAAAACATTTATAAACATAATCATAAACTCCTTTATTTGTGTTTTTTATAAATTTTGCTTTTATGCATATTGACAACATTTTAACAACAGCATGAACAACACAAAAAATCTCAATTAAATCAACATCTATAATATTGCATCAACATTTCATAGATATTACATCAAAATAAATTGAAAAATAAACCTTAAGTGCGTACTCTTTTCCAGTTTTTGTATCCTGTGCAATAAAAACAAACCCATAGCCGCCTAAAAAATAAATTTTTTGTAACTAACAGAGACAAAAACTTTTATCAGTGAAAGCTGATTTAAAAAAAAGACAAAGAAATTTTTTGTGTAAATATTTTCTAATTGTGATGCTTAAAAAGTGACTCACTTTGTAAAATTTATAATTTCCAAAACTAAAATGTAATTTTTAAGATACAAATAAATAATAGTAAAAAAAAACTGGCTCATGCCAAGTAAAATCGCAAAAATAATATATTTTAAACTTTAATTTTTGCATAAAACAAAATAAATCTCAAACTAAACTTTAAATTTTCTTTGAATTTAAGGAATTTAGATGCAAGATTTGTTTATTTTATAATATAAATCTAAATTCCTTAAATTCAAAGAAAATTGATAAGCTTTTAACTTGTTAACTGTTATGACTTCTCTATATGCTTTGGGTTTAAACACAGTAACTAATTGTTTAAAATACCTTTTATCCAAAAAAACCTTTTTAGATATTTTTGCAAACCTTTTGATATTTTAAAAAATGATTTACTTCCGAATTTCAAACGATTAAAAACCAAAATAAACCAGAACACTTGAACGGAGTTATTAATTTTATGACTTCTCAAAACAATAATACAACAGCAATGATAAAAAATTATGGATGCAAATAAATTATAGCAGGTGATATTAACATACGCTTAGATACTAAAGAACTATTTAGCAAAAGCTTCAAAGAAATGCTAGATGTACTAAATCTAACACAACAAGTCAAAGAACAAACTCATAAAATGGGACACATACTAGATGTAATAAACAAGCCAAATGAAATATCAGAAATTATGCTCGCTGTAACAGACTTTGATTTGAGTGATCATTTTCTCATCAATTTTAAAGTAGAACAAAAAAAAATGGAAAAATATTATACCCAACTATCACATACAGGAATTTAAAAACAGTGGACATACAATCCTTTAACAATGAAATATCAAGAAATAAACTATCATCAGCTAAAAATATGATGATAAAAAATATCTAAAATATCATCAACTGAAAATGTGATGATATTTTCAGCTGATGATATTTTGATTAAATAGATGAAAGACAAAATAACCATTTAGAGATTTCAAGTCACATAACTTTGATTTATAAAAAATATTTGATTTTTTTACTTCTAAATTTGTATCTGGTTATTTTGGGGGGTGACGAATCGAATAAAATGATCTGAAGTGTAAAAAATTATTATTATATACCTGAAATTATCAATTTAAATAAATTTAGGCAATTTTTATATACCTGTTTTTAATGTGGCTTGATTTTGATCTGCAAGTGGCTTGATTTTGATCTGCAAGTATATGGATTTACACAAACGCTGAAAGTTTCAGAGCTCCTGTTTGTCTGGAAGGTAGTGAAAAATCTATTAAAAGATTTCGTTACAAAAAAGTAGGGTCATGCCCCAGTTCCCCACCTTGACGTCATGGATTCTGGAAACAATTTTAATATGCACATTCATCGACACTACAGAAATACCAAAATTTTCGGAGCTCCAGTTAGTCTAGAAGGAAGTGAAAATTCAATCACAATATTCCACTACAAAAAAGTGGGAACCATGCCCTATAATCCATATATATGGAAATCCATATACTTGCGAATCAATATCCTATATACTTTAAAGATCAAAGAATATAGAATGATGCGTAAATTTTATTTTGATATCATCAAGGCACATGGGTTTCTTGAGCATTAAAAATATGTAAATAAAAAATTGTCTAAATTTATTTAAATTGTTAATTACACGTACTTAATAATAATTTTTTACACTTCAGATCATTTTATTTGATTTGTCACCCCTTAAAGCTAGCCAGATACACACTTTTTATAAATCAAAGTTATGTGACTTCTCTAAATAAATGTCAATATCTGCTAAAAGTCAAATGGTCATATTTTAGGATTTTCTTACAGTTAGAGGTTAAAATATTCGAAGAATTTTTATTTTATTAAGTATTCTCAACATTATAAAAATAATTTCTTCAGTATTAAATAAATTTACAATAAAAAGGTCATATTTAAGAATTTATATTATATATATGTGTGTGTGTGTGTGTGTGTGTGTGTGTGTGTGTGTGTGTGTGTGTGTGTGTGTGTGTGTATATGTACATGGATATATGTACATGCATATATGTATTAGGCCCATGCAAATCAGAAATTTTTACATAGAATCGAATCCTGAATCAAATCACTTGTATAATCATGAATTGAATATCGAATCTTAAAAGATATCTAAAAGCTTTTTTTTAACGTGTCATTATAAAATAGTTTACCAGTGTTAATATTTTGTTGAGTTCACATTGATATTAATCTTCAATTTTTTAAGACTAACTTGAAGTTATTTAAAGACACTCGATCTCAATTTATATTGTATATCACAGCGCCAAGTAAATTTACTGGAAAATTTTCAATGTTATTGTCAGCGGTTTTGCATAGTTTAAAATTAACTGGCATTTTAATTAGATGGTTTAACAATACTGAATTATGGGCTTAAGCATGTTGAGATAAGTAGCATAACATTTGTTAAATCAATTTGTATGTTGTCAAAGTAATTCCCTTTTAAAGTTTCTCATAAAGCTATTATTTAATGATAGAATCATTAAATTGAATTTTTAAAGTATAAATGCAAGGTTTAACCAAACTGATAACCACAGTGGTATCAGTGCTATGCAGAATTGTTGCATTTGGTTTAAAATTGGTTTTAAGAATGGAATACACTTTTTTTGAATATCTTTCCTCAATGTCGATATTCATTTTGTAGACCTCTAACAATTGGCATACAACTTTCACATGGCCAATTCAGAAGTTTAAACATACTACTAAACCTGGTTACAATATCAAGAAATATAAATGAAATTTAAATACTGGACAATATTTAGCAATATTTTAAAACAAAATTGACAGTTAAGTTAAACCCAGCTTTAACTTTAATTTTAATAAACTTAATATATTTTTTTAATTCAAATTAAATTATATATTTTTTAAATCAAAATTAATTTTTTTTTATCAGAATAAAATTTTAAAAATAATTTTTATAAAATTATTTTTAAAATAAATCATATTTTTTATCAGAATTAAATTATATAATTATAATCTTTGCTTCAAGCTTAAAGTGTTAGCGTTTTAAAAGCGAAAAAATCAATCATTACAATTTAAAAAAATAAAAAATTAAAATATCGTAATATAAAATAAAGATAAAATCAAATTTACCTTTTTTTATAATTCATTTTATTTTTTCTTATTAAAGAGAAATTTAAGTTAATTTTTTTTTATTGCAATCAAAAGTTGTATAAATATTCTTGTGCTCACGAGATGATAAAAAGTTTTTATTATATATGCATGGAGCTCACAGTGGGTGTTGAACTTTAATTCAGATAAAACTCAATTTTTTTCAGCCAATGGTTATCGCAATAATTTAGACCTTCCTATATAATCATGAGCGGTAATGTACTCGATGAATCATCTACCCTTCATCTTCTAGGATTAACTATTACTTCTGATCTTTCTTGGAAACCATATATCAAATCCGTTGCAAAATTAGAATCTGCTATAGTTGCATATCTTTATCATGCTCAACACTTTCTTACTCCGAATTGTATTTTTTATCTCTATAAATCTCAAATCTATCCTTGTATGGAATATTGTTGCTGTTACTGAGCAAGCGTCTCTTGTGCCATCTACTAAAATTCATTTTCGTGTTACTTGTCATTCAATTAAGTCTCATCCTTTTTCTGTGGCTGTTCCTAAGTGCTCCAAAAACTCTTATTCCTCTAGTTTTTTTTCACGAACATCAGTTCTTTGGAATTCGCTTCCTTCATCTTGCTTTCCTGATTCATATAATTTGCAATCTTATAAAGTCGTCTGTCAATTGTTAGCTTGCTCTACAACCTTTATCTTTTCTCTTCCAATAACTTCCAACACTAATTAATGGTTGCTTGCAGCCTTGTTGGAAGCAAAGATGTTTAAAAAATATATATATATTTCTTTTAAATTTTTTTTTTTTTTACGTTTTGTTTTATAACTTTGTATACAAAAAATTGTTGTTAACTATAAACAACATTGTATTAGTAAAGAGCGCTTATATCTAATATTTTAATAGCGCTTATATCTAATTGTCTTTCAAACTTTTGTAACAAACTTTTTTACATAACCGTTATTCAAATGTTAATGTTGTTTTTTTATAAAGTTAACTACTTCTTTTATATTACCACTTATAGAATAATTTAAAAGATAAAAAATGATAAAAAGTTGCAAATGGAAATTGCTCTAGGCGAACATAAAATTGTTTAACACATACGTAAATTGCCGGCAGCTTAATGCTTTAAAACAAGCCCTGAATATGAAAATATCTTATGTGTTTCATAAGTAAATATAATTTTAGACTTGAACTTACCAAAAGTTTATTTAGTAAAATCATGCACAAGTACATATAAAAATCTTCATAAAAGTAGTACTCTTTGATGTACATTTAATTTTTTTACAGTTTTTAAATAAAGGTGAGTAAATGGATAAGTTAAAAAGAAAAAACTTTTAAAAAATTGCTGGTGCCATTTATTTTTTTGCAAACTGTATATACATAGTTTTTAAGCTTCAATTATTCCATGCAGTCTAAAAGATTTTCACATAGCCGTAATTGTTTCATATTACATTTCTATTCCAGTACATTTTTTATCCACAATCTTTTAGCACTTTGAATTTTTAGATACCAGCTGCATTTTAACATTCAGCTTAGTACGCTTTGTTTTAGCTGCCCCCTCTCTTTTGGTCTACTATGTTATTGATGAAATATATGTTAGCAACTATTAATAATAAACCTTTGCTTGAATTTTGTGCTTTTATACTAGACTTTTATCTGTTCAACACCTTTAAATAGTTTCTAGCTAACTCTCCTTTTTCCCTGAGGTTCATACGACTGTATGTGTTCCACTAAAGTAACTGTATTCTAAGACCGGTTGCAAATAATAAATGTTAATGTAACAAGTATATCTATTACAAAAAAAATTTTTTTAAATACTAAATTTAAATACTAAAAAATTTTAAATACTAAAAAAACGAAAACAAAAATAGTACTCAAATTATCAAGATTATAAATTTTTTTCTATTTAAACATATATTTCTATTTAACATTTCTAACCAAATGAAGAGCTGTTGAAAAAACCTGCTCTTTTGTGTACAAAACTAATAAGGTTTTTATTAAGCTACTGAACCTTCAACACACTCTTAATATATAGTTGAAGAAGACGGTTGCTAACTATTTCCTGAAAAGAAAAGCAGTTGCAGGCATTGCGTTTGTTGAGTCTGTGGTTGCTCGATACTTGATTAATAATAATATCTTTAGTTTTTCGAGATGTATGATCACATTAATACTTTCAAGATTAACCACAGCAACATGTTTTTAGCTTCCATTCTGTTATAATAAACCATTAAAACTAAATACTTTGTTATTATTTGCAACTAAATATGTTGCTATTATTTGTATCTTTCCCATGATCTAAGGTAATAAAACATTTACATCCTGACATTTCTGAAAGTAGTTTTGTTTTAAAATAATTTCTAAAACTGATTTTAAGTCATTTATCTTACATAAAAGCATAGATGGATGGGGAGGTTTATAATTTTTATTAGTAAGAGTTGAGCATATTTATATAAAAATCTTAGTCTCAAAAAAATGTCCATCTACAACTACAATATAGTTTAATCAAACATTTTTTATATATTTAATTGAAATAAGGTTATTAAGAAAATTTGGCATGATACGTTTTTGTAAATTTTTAGAACAATTGCTTTCTGAAACATCTGGTTTCGACAATTTATTTTATCTATTAATTCGCTTTTTTGTTTGTTTGACTTCTAAGTGTTTTGTATTTTCTTTCCAGGTGATTCCAGAGTTTTGATAACAGAATTTTTGAAAGTTTTGAAAGAATTGACAGTTTTGAAAGTTTTGCGTAAATAAAATTGATCATTTACTTTAAAGTATAACTGCTACCTGCTGATGTTTAAATAGAAATATAAGAACTCAAATAAGTTTGTAAGATCAAAAATCAATTTTGAAAAAGAATTTTTTCTAATTTAACTTTTTTGTTGCTGTTGTTTTAATCTAATTTACTCATAATTAGGCTGCAAGCAACTACTATTAAGTTGGAATATACTAGAAAACAAAGAATATAGTTAAAGAGCAGGGAAACAACTAACAGAAGATTTGAAGAGTTGTAAGTTAGTCAGGAAAATATGAAGATATGAGAGAGTTCCAAAGGATTGAAGTGCAGGGAAAAAACTAGATAAATAAATGTTTTTAGAGCATGCAAGAACAGATACAGAAAAAGAAATTCAAGTTAACTTATAAAAGAATATTTATTAAATTTAATTTTATAATTGAAAGTTTAGTTTTTGTTCAAAGAAACCTATAAGAATAGCTGTTTTGACAGCAACTAGTTTAGAACTACCATCAGGGTTGCTTTTAAAAATTTGTCCTAGGATCAGCTCTATGCCCTATTGTCACAAATTTATATGCGCACATTTTTTTTTTTTTAAAAAAAACCTCTTTTAAAACTGAAACTTTTATGATTATTTGAGTAATCTTGCTCTAATAATGTTAAAAGGTGTTTTAATAATGTTTTTTAATAAACTTTTTAATAAAAAAAAATATTAAAGTTAATTTTAGAAAGTTTAATTTTAGATTTTATCATATAGAGATTTTCAAATCGAAACTCAAATCACTTTTCTGATTCAATTTGAAATTTCAAAGCTTTATAGAGGCCTTATATTTGTTTTTTAACTTTAATTAACAAATAAATATTCAGCTTATATAGATAACAAATTAAATAAATATAGCATTTAAAAATTTACCTTCAGCTAAAACTTTTTTAATTTTAAGATTCTGTTGACCTAATTCTACATTTTCTCCTACCATCTCATTTCCTCCTAAACCATTTGAACCACCAAACAACCCTCCAAACCATGCCATATTAAACTTTATTACTAAAATTTATTATTTTATCATCGTTGTTCTACTGGGTTTACTATAAAAAAATAAAGATATGCAAAAAAAAAATATATATATATATATATATATATATATATATATATATATATATTTATATATATCAGATATATATATATATATATGCCAGATATATATATATTAGATATATGTATATATATCAGATATATATTATGACATATAACAAGACAAAATTAAGTACAGTTTATTTCAAAACCATTAAATTTATTTGAGGAAACTAATTAAATTTGATCGTCTTTTAAAGCACAAATAAAACACTAGAAAGTTTTTTTAAAATTTTGGCAAATAAATTAAAAAATTAAATTAATATATTAGAAAGAAAACAAACAACTTTTATTATTTTACTTATTCCTTTAAAATACAATAAAACAATAAATAAAAATAAAATAATAAACAAAACACAAAATATAATAAACAATTAACAACAAAATAATCTAAATATCTAGTCATTTTGATTTGGAGCTTTTCTTCCTGTTTTACACTTTGGTTGAGGAGCAGAAGGGTTTTCAAAAGTATAAAATAGTTTCAACAAATTAATTGACTCTTGAGAAAGGCATCCACTAATACACTCCAAATTAGAACTCATTTGAAGTTCACATTGAGATAAATTACTTTTTGACTTTGCTTCTGTTTTAATTGAGCTAACATCTAATCTTGAACCACAACCACCAAACCGCTGATTTGTACAGCCATAGAACACTTTTTTTAAGCCTGAGATACGTAAGGCTGCTGCACACATTATGCATGGTTCAGTAGTAACATACAAAACACATTCACTCATGCTATTTAAATTTTTTCCAGCTTGTAAAAAGTAAAATCTAGCTTTCTCTAATGCAATAATTTCAGCATGTCGTGTTGCATTTTTAGTACGATTAACATCATTGTATCCATCAGCTATAACTATATTATCATGAATAATAACACACCCCACAGGAACTTCACCTTTTTCTAATGCAACTTTTGCCATTACTAATGCCTTTTTCATAAACTCTTCATTAATATTTTGAAAATATACATTACTCTCTATTGTCTTTTTACTGACTGTACTCTCTGTTAACACATTTTCCATTGTCTTATTATAAACAATACTCTCTATTTTGGTTAATTTTTTGTTTTGCTTCATAAAAGTTTTTGTAAAATTTCTTTTAAAACTAAATCTTCAACCAATTTTTCATTATGTATCTCAGAAACAATGTTATAGCTCATTAAAATTTGTTTATTAAGTCTTTTACTTAGTTTTTGTGTTAGAGAATGTGCATTATTCCCAAGAAGATTTACAGAAGATGCTAATTTTTCGAATTTTGTATTTGATGCAATATTGAGATTATCAAATAAAAAATTTTTCTCTCCAACCCAAATAAAAGCTGAATTTGTATAACTTATGACTCTTACATAAACCAGCTTTTCTGGTAAATTTACAGTAAAGTCATATTTTTCCATTAAAAATATAACACCTATATTGCATAAAAACATTATACATATATATATATATATATATATATATATATATATATATATATATATATATATATATATATATATATATATATATATATATATATATATATATATTTATATATATATATATATATATATATATATATATATATATATATATATATATATATATATATATATATATATATATATATATATATATATATATATATATGTATGTATGTATGTATGATGTATGTATGTATGTATGTATGTATGTATGTATGTATGTATGTATGTATGTATGTATGTATGTATGTATGTATGTATGTATGTATGTATGTATGTATGTATGAATGTATGTATGAATGTATGTATGTATGAATGTATGTATGCATGTATGTGTGTATGTATGAAGAAAAAAGATTCAAATAACTAAATAAAATTAACTAAATAAAGTGCAACTCTATTTTGTAATACATTATGCACCTTTTTAGCAAAAACTATCAAACAAAAAGAAAAAGATAAACTTTTGTATTTAATGCTTAACATTAGATGCATTAAAATTGTACATTAACAAAAAAAAAAAAAAAACCTAAAAATAAATTAAAATAATTACTTGTTATACCGAATCATATTAACAATTTAGAATTCAGAAATATTACCTTGGGCTATAAAAATTCGTCAGCGCGCCGATCAGTCTGGTATTTATCGCGAGGTTAAAACAATTTTTAATTTGTGATTATCGAAAAAATTCAATTTTAAATTAGCATTGGCTATGAGATAAAACTTATACTTGGATTAACAAAATATACAATCAGTGGCGTCCCGACACACTCGGTGGCCTGTAGACAAAACTCATCCTTTTAATGATTTTTCTGCAATTCAATAATAAACTCGGTAGCCCTCAACCCTATTATAGGCTAGGTGGCCTTGTAGACTTTGTCTACCCTGTCTACTCTATTTTTTAATCAAGATCTAAAAGAAAGATTCCCATCTTTGAAAATTTAATGTTCGTCTCCAAAATTTGTTGTTTATTCTTGTAGAATTGTGAACTATCTGTTTATGAAAGGGCAAAAGCGGCTTTTCGGATCGAAGTTAGACATTGTTTATATGATACATCAATGCATTTATAAATCAAATTTACACACATTAATGATGTATGTTATGCTTGTGTTTGATGTTTTAATATTCACGGAAGATTTTATTAAAGATATAAGTTTTTTCACTTGCGACATTGGGTTGTATACATTTTATCAACATTGATTTAATCGATTTTAGGTTATATACATTGGGTTAACTTTAATCCATATACATTGAATCAACGTTGGATTATTTACATTGAATCAACGTTGGATTATTTACATTGGATCAACGTTGGGTTTAAATTGTGAAAACATTCAAGTTTTGCGATAGCTTTACATCGCCCAATGTATCTGTGCAAACTGTTTATTTGCGACGGTATTAGGCCTTTTTTCTATATTTTTTTTAAAATCAAGACGTTGTCAATCAATATATTTTTCACAAAAATAGATATCGTTTACAATATAGTATAAATATTTAAATAATATTATTGTGAAGGGACAATGCAAATAGTACAAGACTACTTGAAAGCAGAGGCCTTAAAAAACAAAAACAAAAAACAAAAAGACCTTGTAAAAAAAAAACTAAAAAAACCCGAAACAAACAAAAAACTAATAATAAAAAGGACTGCCCAAAAATAAAAAATAAAATAAAAAATAAAAAAAAACTACTATTAATAACAAATAATAATAATAATAATAATAATAATACAACAGACATACACAACAACCAAGGAACAAAAATTTAAGTTATTTATATAAAATATTACTAAAACTAATAAAAACAAGTACGTAATAATACTGACAATAGATAATAATAAAAATAATAGTAAGTTATTAAAATAATGAAATAATAAAGGTTAATAGTATGAATAATGGTAGAAGCAAATGAAGTTTTATCGAGTAAAGAGAAAGATTATTGGATTCGAGTTGAAGTTAATAGAATAAAGAAAGAATTAAAAAAATAAAATAAAAAAACGTTGGATTTGCAACGGAAAAAAACACTCGATATTCGCGATAAAATCTCCATTCATAGTAAAATATTTTCAAAAAGTGTTCAAAAAAAATGGTCATAATTTTTGAACACTTTTTGAAAAATTTTACTATGAAATTTAAATTTTCTCGATAAATATAAGTCTAGCTGAAAATAGTACAAAAAATATTTCATCAACTTGTTGCTCTCACGTTTATATGTATATATTTACATATATAAATATAAACGTGAGATATACATATAAACGTGAGATATACATATAAACGTGAGATTATATGTATATGACATATATATTTTTTTAAATCAAGAAATTAAAAAAACCGTTTAAAATTCAAATTAAGCAATGCAATGGGATCTGACGTCAAAACATCGACTACACGAAGTCTACCTTTAGCCTGTGTCGAATTGACAAAGAAGGAATTTATTTCTATGCCGTCATTTTGATATAGTTTCAGTCTTTTTATTTAATAAACTATTGTCATTATTTGAAATAATTTTTCATTAAGGCATAATTTGCACGATTTTGTTGTCAGGTTATATGCTTCACATCTTCTAATTATTTTCCAATTGATCACAGGATTTTTTTCATTATCTTTTAAGTTCCAAACCTCCTTTGACAGCTCTGTATCGTTTCTATACTTGGGGATGTTAAACGATTTCAAATGGTTAGCATATCTCAGTTTGAAAGATGTTTCACAAATACCAATGTATGATTTTTTTATTGAAGGGTTATCCGAAGTGATGGTTGCTTGGTATACAATGTTGTTGTTCAAGCAGTTATTGTGTAAAGGACAATTGTTTTTATTAAGGCAGTTGCAGTTATCTTTATTAATGGTTAGATTTTTGTTTAGGATGTGCTTGTTGTGTAAATTTATTATTGATTTTATGTTTGGCATGCAACTGTAGCTGATTTTACTGTGTTTTTGTTGAAAATTTTGTGTAGTCTGTTGTTAATTGGAAAATGTTTGACAATCAAGTTTAAAAAGCTTTTTTCTATATTTGTGGTGACATTTATGCCATAGGGTGGGTTGTACCAGATTATTTTACGCGTACGGTTTTTCTTTTGTTGTTGTTTCAAGTTAGGTCGGTAAGATAAATTATGTTTATAACCAGAGTTTCGTAGTGCTTCATTATAAATAGGTACAGATTTTTTAAACACCTCCTCGCTGCTAGAATTTCCGGACAATCTGAGTTCAACATTTTGCGGTAGTTGTTTTAGTATATTAGAAGGGTGGTTAGATTGAGCATGTATGTAGTTTAAAGTATTATCAGGTTTGCAGTATGGTTGGTATGACTGGTCGCAGAGGTTAAGAGTTACGTCGAGGTAATTCACAGTTTTGAGGTTGCACTGTATAGTTATTTTGAGATTGTTACATTTGAATAAGTGAGTGATATGCTTTTTAATTTTCTCCATTTGCTGACCAGTAGCATTTTTAAAAACTGCTAATCCGTCATCGCGGTATAAGCCAAAGTCATATTTACTATAAAAATGTGAAATTTGAAAAGGAATGGATATTCCAACAAACTCACATATCTCCGCACCATCAAACGCACCCATGGTAACGTCAAACAAACCGCCTGACTTTTTCATCCAAACCTGCCCATTATTAAACAGTAAAGATTTTCTTGCATGAATAATAATTGACTTTTGTTCTATGCTTATAGTGACGTGTTTTTCCGCAAAACTGATAGAATCGTTAAGGAGTTTTTCACTAATTGAAGGGTAGAAATCGTTGATATCAAAAATGAGGAATTTATAAAGGTGTTTATCTTTTATATTTTTAAACCAATTGATAACATCTTGTGTGCTTTTCCGCTGAATAAGATGTAAAGTATTTTTTAATTCAGAGTTTTATTTTGAGAGAATGTCTTTACTAATTCTACCAATTTCATTTTTTTCCGGATTTATTAACCTAAGGTTTGTTAATCTATGTTTTGTAAAGAAAAGCGTTGCTGTTTTGTTAAATTATCTTTTATTTTTAATTTTAAAGAACTGGTTAAAATTTTGGAACAGTTTTGTCGAAGAATCTCAGCCTGTGTTTGTTTATTTTGTTGTTCGAGTTCGAAGGCGCAAAATTCAATATTAGTGATTATGTCCATAAAAGGAATGTTCTTTTGTCTTGAGACAAATTTTGGATCAAGATTAAGTAGTTCAGTAGTTGCTTTATCCAGAAAAAAATCCTCCGCCTTTTTATTAAAATAAATTTACATATTTTATATATATATATATATATATATATATATATATATATATATATATATATATATATATATATATATATATATATATATATATATATATATATATATATATATATATATATATATATATATATATATATATAGTGCTCGAAGTAAAGAAAAAAAAAAAAAAGATGGTATTCGGTAAATTAAAAATACCATCCCGCCTAATTATTGTTATATATAGAGATTTATAAAAAGGTGGCGGGATGGTATATACTTTATAAAAAGGTAACAGAATGGCATGCCGCCGCATCCAGCCTCACTTCAAGCACTATATATATATATATATATATATATATATATATATATATATATATATATATATATATATATATATATATATATATATATATATATATATATATATATATATATATATATATATATATATACGTTGGTAAAACGTTAGAACAATGTTGCAAGTTACGTTGGCACAACATCGGATGCCAACTGTAACTTGCAACATTCTGTATCATTTTGGTTATAAATGCAAAGCGCCGTAAGGGCAAGACACTGTAGTAAATAACGGCATACAATATTAGCAATTCTTTTTAATGGCTCAATGAATGTATATAATAAACTTAGTACATACAAAAAACATACTAAATTTATTTAAAATCAAAATTATTTTTCAAACCAGAAATGGAGTTGTCTGTTCTCAATACTAAACACACAACTTTATAAAAAAAAATTTTTTTGTTGCAGTTTTTAACAGTTTTTAATAGGCTTAACATGCACAAACCAACGGTCATTTGACACTAAGTAGTTTTTGAACTTGCAGTCGGAATTCTGATAGATCTACTTAAACGGCTTGAAGAGCCTGGCTTATGTACGACTGGTTATGTTAGGCTGAGTACTGTGAAGTATTATGGAGACCAAGTAAAAACTTAAACAATAAAGCTGATGTGCAATTTGTTGTAAAATTCCATTTGCATGCAATGAAAATTCCTTCAGATAAAAATAAATAACTTCAAGTTTACTACAAAAAAATTCTTTTCGAAGCAGCTTTTACATTTATTCTCGCAGAGAAGGTTTCAATAAGTTGATTAAATCATTCTTTCGATGTGATATGTACCGGGATTTTCAACAGCTAAGTATCAAAATGGTTATTTTAAATACTTTTTCCTCCCGTAATTCTATATTCATAAAGTTGTTAGACACTTCTAGTTCAACTACTTCGATAGTGCTGCTGCTGATACCGTTTCTTTTATAAATGACCGCTGACCGTTTCTTTTATAAATATAAAAAATATTTTTCTTCTTCAGATTTAATAAACTTTTTTCTCAAATAATATTTGTAATTAGTTCGTAAATATGAATCCATAAAATAAAATATTTTTATGCAATCTTCTGAAATAATTCTTTAGCAAAACAACATTTTGAAAAACTATTAAAATTTAAAATA